GTGTTCATGTTCCTTTCATAGGCTCAAAGTTAAACTGAATTTTGGAAAAACGAGATTTTGAGTGAGATTTAGGACCATTTTTCGGTCCTGTTTCTAGTTTCCATTTGTTGTCTTACCTTCATAAAAATTGTAGCCTCTATCTTCTAGCTTTCCAACCCAGCCTCTTGTGTCCAATTTGAGATATATAACCAACTTATATGCGCGGGAAACCACCCAAAACGACTCTGTTTGTTTCGGGCCACATGCTTCACTGACTTTATGCCCATTTTGAGCCACTGATAGATGACAAAATTAGGTTGCTGAGTTCTTCATAAAAGTTGTTTCCCTATGTCTTTAGGAATTCTCGCGTTCTGTATTGGTTTAATTTGAGTGTTGGCGTTTACTAAGGGAATTCAAGAAACAAATGGACTTGCGTTCGTCTGAATCAGGTCTGCGGTGCTGTCAGAGTTTCTGTGTTCCTAGCTATCTGTTTTGTTATCTTCCCATATTTGATCTGGGCTGTGATCCCTTATAAAATTGTAGGCTTTTGTCTAGCTTTCTAATGAGCTCTTTAATGTCAATAATTTGGAGACCCATAGCTCTGTATGTTTTAAAAACACAGCAAAGGGTTCCATTTATTTTTATGCTTTTGGAAATTTCTATGTTAAGTCATTTTGTTGTTTAAGTAGTGAGAATTTTTATGAATTACTTAAGTTTAAAATTAAGTTTTTATTATGAGCACGACTAAAGGAAACTGAATTTTATGAGAAGATGTTTTTGGCTCTAATTATTACTTTGGTGTGAAATTGATGCATGATTTGATTTTATTTATGTATGATGAGCAATGCTCGGGCATTTGATGCCCATTATGATAAGAAGCTATGATCATATGCTAAGGCCGTGGGCTTGGTCTTATGTTAGGGCGGACGCGGCTCTATATGTATTATGAAAAAAGGTTGGGACCTAAGGCCATTATGAAGAAGCTATGAAAACTTATTCGCTTCTTTTTCTCCTAAGTGTATGTGAGCCCTGATACAATATTTTTAAGGAAGTGCAAATAAATGAGATCACATATTTAAATAACCTCTTAATTACCACAAACTGTATTTTAGTGGGATATCAAATGAATTTCGTAAAGCATGGATGTGTTGGTGTGCATATAGTACTGCGATGTTCAAATTAATGATTTTTATGAATATAAATGATTGGTTTTTAAAGTGATGTTGTCATCACAAACATTAGTTTGTTGTGTTTTAGTGCAGCATCACTGATGTTTTATAACTCAGCGCGTTGATTTTATCCATGCGCAGGTTGGAGATTGTGCTTAACTACTTAAAGACCTGAAGGTAGCATCAGAGTGAAGAGATCTTTGGTAGTTGATTAGTATTGTTATGTAACTAAAAATTATGGCATGTATAAAGTATTACATTGTTGAGACTGTATCTATTTCATTTATAATACTTAAAGCATGTTATTGTAATTATTTTGGTGTATATATATTGGGAGAATATATTGGGAGATAAACTTGGACTTATTTAATGGTTAGAACATTAGAAGTTGATATATTTAAATGAATGTATTGAAGTGATGAATATTTTAATGTTATTGAGGAACTATGGAGTTATGAAATTATAGAAGTGCTATTGTGTTGTTATTGGAGTTTGATGGGGTTTGGAGTTTTTATATTGGGAGTGCTTTGTATTCATATGTTTGGCAACTTCTATTTTTAGGGGAAACTCTTGCAGTTTTTCTGTAGGATTCTCCCAAATCATTTCAAAACAGAATACTATTACTTGCTAAACTTGTGAATACTAAGTCACTTCTAATTCATAATATGATTGTTTGATTTATATGTAGGTTAGGACGGTGCCGCGCACCGAATTGGCATTCCACCGTCGGGTCTTTCGGGATCGAGGCGGCGGGTGTTACCAAGTAATTTTAACTGAGGAGTTGCAGTGCAATTATCCAAAACAAATTGCCTCCAAAGTTAAAAGATCCAGGAAGTTTTTCTATCCCTTTGCAGATATTTGGTAATCTTGATTTGAAAAAAGCTTTGGCAATTTATGCTAGCATTAATCTTATGTCTTTTGAATGTTTTTTAAGATGCTAGGAATGGAGAACTCAAACCAACAAGAATTGTCTCTACAATTGCAGATCGATCAATCCAAAATCCAAGAGGGAATTGTTAGTAGAAGATGTGCTTGTTAAGGTAGCCCCGTGATTTCGTTATTCGTTGATATTTGATGAAAGATAGGGAAATCTTTAATCCTGGAAGACCTTTTCTTGCAACTGCCCAAGAGCATTAATGATGTTTATGAAGGTAAGTTAACTCTAAGGTTGAGCAGGAAGAAATTGTCTTTGATGTTCTGTAAATTCCTGTAAAACTTCCCTATGGACTATGGAGATTGTTTTCGAATTGATGTTGTTTGATGGAATGTGTGGAAAACACTTTGCATATTGAAGTAACATTAATGAATCAAGCATCATGAATGAAAAAGAAAAATGAACACCTAAGCAAGAACTGAAACAAACTTCCACCTTCATTAAAACTATTGAATTCTTAAGGTTGCAGAACCATTCGTTTTCCGTATTATTAATTTCTCTCACGTTAACGCTGCATCAAAAAGAAGGTTTTTTGCAGGTTCTACGAAAGCATTAAGAAAAGCAAACTAGGTGGTCAATTTCAGATCTACAAGGGATAAGCCAAGTGTATGCATGCATAAAATCCTGATGGAAGAAGACTTACAAACCTTCAATCGAGCATCTAAGGCGATTGAATCCGAACATTGAAGGAGGTAGTCCAAGGCTGAAATCCATAAAACTCCTGGATGCCGGTATCATTTATCCAATTTCCGACCAGTAGTTGGGGAAGTCTCCGGTCCAAGTTTGTTCCAAAGAAGGGAGGTGATGAGTGTTATCTCTAATGAAAACAATGAAATTAAATCCCACTAAGAACAGTCACAGGTTGGCGTGTGTGCATAGAATTATAGAAAATTAAACAAAGCAACACGCAAGGACCACTTTCCGCCCTACCCTTTATTGATTCAAATGCTGAAAGACTTGCAGGTTATCCTTTTTATCGTTTCTTAGATGGTTATTTCAGGGATACTTTCAGATACCTTTTATTAGCTCCTGAAGACCAAGAGAAAACTACTTTCACTTTGTCCTTTATTGGCACTTTTGCCTAGAGGAGAATTGCCCTTTGGTAAGCAATGCCCACTTACAACCTTTTCAAAGATCATGAAATATCCATCTTTTCAGATATGGTAGAGAAATTTACTGAAATTATTCATGGATGGACTTTTCTGTATTCGGTTCCTCTTTCGATGCATTCTTCATAATTTATCCTTAGTAATGCAGCGATGCCGAGACACTAACCTTGTTTTTACTTATTTTGAATTGGGAAAAGTGTCACTTTATGGTTAGTGAAGGTATTGTCTTAGGGCATAAGATCTCTCAAAAAGGGATTGAAGTTGACAAGGCCAAAATCGAGGTTATTGAAAAACTACCTCCTCCTAACTTAGTGAAAGGAATAAGGAGTTTTCTTGGTCATGCAGGATTCTACAGGAGGTTCATCAAGAACTTCTCAAAAATCACAAAACTTCTTTGTAATTTATTAGTTAAAGATGTTCCTTTTAATTTTGACAAAGAGTGTTTAAATGCTTTTAACAGGTTAAAGAAGGAGTTGATCTCATCTCAGCCCCTATCATCACTGCACCAGATTGGACTCTGCCCTTTGAGATCATGTGTGATGCTAGTGATCATGCGGTTGGAGCTGTTCTTGGACAAAGAAAGGACAAGAAGTTGCATGTTATTTATTATGCCAGTCGTACATTGAATGATGCGCAATTAAATTATGCAATTACTGAAAAAGAATTGTTAGCTATTGTTTTTGCTTTTGAAAAATTCAGGGCATATTTAATTGGAGCCAAAACAGTAGTTTACACAGATCACTCAGCCATCAAATATTTGCTAGAAAAGAAAGATGCCAAACCGAGACTAATTCATTGGGTTCTTTTATTGCAAGAATTTGATCTAGAGATTCGCGACAAAAAAGGGACTGAGAATCTCGTAGCTGACCATCTTTCCAGGCTAGAATTGGGGGAAGATGAAGATACAAGCGAGCCTACAAATCAATGAAAGTTTCCCCATGAGCAACTTCTACTATTTGCAAGATACCTCAAGCCCCCAGTATGCTGATATAGTTAACCTATCTTATTTGTAAAAATCCCTCTCCCAATTTTTCTTACCAACAAAAGAAAAAGTTCTTCATGATATCAAATACTACTATTGGGGAGGAGCCCTTTTTGTTCAAATATTGTAGTGATCAGCTATTCCGGCGATGTATACCGGAAGCAGAAATGGAAAGTGTCCTTAAATTTTGCCATTCACTGAAATATAGGGGACACTTTGGAGCAAACAAGATAGCAGCACGTATATTGGAAAGCGATTTGTATTGGCCTAACCTATTTAAAAATGCCTTTAACTTTGTTCACCTTTGTGATCGTTGTCAAAGGTTAGGTAACATTTCGAAGAGACATAAGATGCCCTTAAATAGCATCCTTGAAGTCGAAATCTTTGATGTCTGGGGTCTGGACTTCATGGGACCTTTCCACCATCATACTCCAACCAATACATTCTAGTGGCGGTGGACTATGTGTCAAAGTGGGCAAAAGCTGTTGCTCTTCCAAACAATGATGCCAAAAGTGTAATGAATTTTATCAAGAAGTATATTTTCACTCATGGCACTCCTAGGGCCAATTAATCACGGACGGAGGTAAGCATTTTTTGCAATAGATAATTTAGATTCCCTTCTGGAAAATATGGTGTTACTCATCGTGTAGTTACTCCATATCGATCCTCAAACAAATGGCACAAGTTAGATGTCACAAATAAGAGACATCAAAAAATCCTGAAAAAAGATCCTGGAAACCACTGTTGGACAATCAAGGAAGGATTGGTCCAAAAAGCTAGACGATGCTCTATGGGCTTACAGAACTGCGTTCAAAACACCTATCGGTATGTCTCCATATCGCATGGTTTACGGTAAGGCTTGTCATCTTCCTGTTGAATTAGAGCATAAGGTGTTTTTGGCAATTCAATTTCTTAACTTTAATGCAAAGGAGGCTGGTAAAAAACGACTACTACAATTGAATATGATGGATGAAATGTGCCTCCATGCCTATGAGAGTGCCAAAATATATAAAGATCGCACCAAACAATGGCACGATAAGCATATTATCATGAGGAATCTAAAGGTAGGCCTGCAGGTATTGCTCTATAACTCCAGACTCCGCCTATTCCCTGGTAAGTTGCGCTCTAGATGGTCTGGTCCATTCACAATCAAGGAAATTTTTCCTCATGGAGCCATTGAAATAGTGGATCATGGAGCCATTGAAATAGTGGATGGTAAGTCAAATCGAAGTTTCAAGGTTAATGCTCAACGTTTGACAGTTTATCAAAATGACAACTTTGAGCCCTCAAGAGTACAATCGGTCTCGTTTAACCTAAACTAGGTTGAGTGCGTCGAGCTTAACGACTTTAAACAAAAGCGCTTGTGGGAGACAACCCATGTTATTTTCCTTTTAAATTTTTGTTCCGCTATTTCTGTTTTAAAATTTCCCAAATTTTTGCCATAATTGTTCTTTTGTTTTAGTAAAATTTTTTTTCAGGGTCAAGTTAAAATCCACACCACAAGGCAGCACGCCCTAGCCATGCTACATGACACGCCTGTGCTATGATAGGACAAGGCAGCACGCCCAAACCATGTCCCAAGACACGCCCGCATGCATTAAAAGATAGAATTTGCTTGAGAGACAGAGGCGAGCACACCCTTCCCGTGCCAATCCGCACGCCCGTGCTCCATAAAAGAAGGAAAACTACTTTGAGAGTCAGAGAGAAGCACGCCCTAACCGTGCATTGAAGCACGCCCATGTGTCATAAGAAAGGGAAATATCTTTTGAGAGCCAGAGATAAGCACGCCCAAGGCATGCTGGATAGCACGCCCGTGCTATCTGCGAAGAAAATGTCACATTGCAAGTCAGAAGAAAGCACGCCCGTGCTAGGTACGCTCTATTTTTTGCCTTGCAGGTCAGAAGAAAGCACGCCCTCGCTGTGCCATTGAGCACAGCCGTGCCATGATCAGACATGCGCATTAAATGGCGCCTCTATTTAAAGAGCACGCCTTAACTGCCCTGACTTCTCTCTCGCACGCCCTAGCCGTCAACTCCTCCTCTCTCAAATTTTCTCTCTTTTTCATCCCTTTTCTCTCAAATCAAACACCTTCCACACCAAATTTTCATACCCTCCTCCTCAATCATGCCTCCTAGATACAAGCGTAGCAGACCCGCATCCTCAGTTGCCGCTGTTGCCGCTTAGAAAACGGGCCAATCGTAAGATCCTCCAACTGCTCCTCCACCTCCTTCAACGCCTGCGCCTCCATCCTGCGCCTCCATTTGAGTTTGCTTCACCCGAGCAACAAAAAAGGTACAATAAACTATCCCTTCGCCCTATTTTGCCTAATAGATTCATTGATGAGGCTGCTTTAGCATAAGTGGGTCTTCGAGATATTGTGATAGAACCACTTAGGCGTATAGGATGGGGACAATTTCTTGAGATGAAAGATTTAGTTTATGCACCCTTAACTTTAGAATTTTTGAGTTGTTATTCCTCTTTCATTCGATTTTTACCTACCTCTCCCCCGAGCAAAATTCGCTTTAGGCTAATGGGTAGAAATTTTGAATTATCTGTGAATGAAGTTAGCCATATTTTCGGGTTCCCCACGAAAAATGCTCAAATACAAATATCTAGTGATTTTAATGCACGTAATACCTGGAACCATTTTACTGATGAAATAAATTATAATCCTAGGTATTCAAAGGCCTGGCCTCTAAACTTAAAAATCCTTCCCCAAGATACATACACAAGTTCTTATCTAACACTATCTTTGGAAGGAATGAAAGTGATGGAGTCCTAAGCTTGAATGAATTATATTTTTTATGGGCAATCGAAAGAGGAATTTTGCTAAATGTTGGATATTGGCTGTGCTAAAAATTTGCAAGGGTAGCTAGGGCCGATAAAGGGGCTATCATGATAGGGTGTTTTGTGACCCGCATTGCTAGATATTTATAAGTCTGGAACCCGACTAGACCGATTTATGATAGTGTTGGAGGGGGAAAGGATACCAGACTAGATTTGGATGTAATGATCCACATGAAACTGATTGAAAAAGTCGGCGATACTTATCGGATAGTAGGCGATCGAGAGGACAATACTGAGGATGAGGGCGCTGAGGCCGCAGGTGCTGCTGACATGGAGGAGGATAATCCTCCCCCTTTCACTTCTTCTTTTGGTGCAGGTACTTCCGGTGCTGGACCATCCTTTCAGGTGCTGGACCATCCTTTCAAGGAAAACATGTCCAACGATGAAGTCCTTGCGAGGATGATGTTCTCGAATTGGACATATTGACACACGCCCTTAACGGATGGAAACAATGATTGCAGGACCGTTTCCAGGTCGATCAAGTTATGCACGGGAGCCTCGACTCTCGGAGGATACACTGCAGGGCCAACTTCAAACTTTGTTCTCCAGGCTCTTTACAGCCTCCAGCTTTTACAGCCCCATCCACCTCCACCACCGGAGCCTTGATGGATTTTTGACTTATCACTTGTTTCTTATTTTGATTTGGTTCTAATACACTGATCTGTTTGTGTTTAATTTTTATTTTTTCTGTTATTTGACTATTATAACTCTTAGTAGTTTCTTTTCTCTTAACATTTATTTTGCTCTTTTAGCTATGACATGTTCCAGCACCCGTTCTATTGTATTTTTGAATACAATTTTGGTAAAGTTTATCCCACTCTCTTAATGCTTTTCTTCTGTTAATGTAATAAGTTTGGGGAATCAGTTTATTTTGTGCACATTGGGGACAATGTGTTTGATTGAATTGGGGGAAGGAAATTATAGCTAAAATTTTTTGCTTAACATGGTTAAAATGATCACAAGCAAGCTTGAAGGTTGTCATGATCTAGTAATAGGTGATGAATTTAGTTGATTCTCTATTCTAGTATACTTAAGCTCTGAATTTGGAATTTTTGACTTAAACATGTTCATTGATTTTTGATTTTAAACTATCTGTTTCTAACGATCCTAAACACTGATTTTTTGTTTGAAATTTATGATTATATAGCATGTTTTTAATCTAAAGTTATTTAAACCTTTGGCATTCCTAAACAAATTAGAATTCCTTTGAGGCAAAAATTTCTAAATTGCTTTACATTTATAAAAGAAATGATTTAGGTGCATTCTTTGTTGAAAACTCATATTTTAGCCTAGACCACCTGAGTTAAAAATATGACCTTTCAACCAATTTTGAAGCCTAAAAACCATAAAATTTCCTTGTTCCACCCTTATTAAACCTAGCCTTTTTAAAATAAACCAATTTCAAATTCCTACCCTAAGTACAAAAGATTGTATGATTGAAAGATTCGACTTTTAATTAAAACATAGCAACAAAAAAGGGAGAATTTTTCATTGATACTAGCAATCGCACCAAATAAAGAAAAATCAAAAGACACATAAAAAAAAAAGGAAGAAGAAGCAATCAACCAAAAGAATTCAAGTTTGGGGAATTCAAAAGGCAAGGAAGAAATTACCAAAATATTATGAAAAGACCTTGCAAAAATGTCTCTAGCTATTAAAGAATTTCAAAATAGAAACTCCCTGAAAACAGTAAAGTTTTGATTAAAAATAGAATTCTGGATAATATACATTCTTTTGTACTCTTTGTCTACCTTTCATCCTTTTTCTTTGATTAAGCAAAATTTACACCTCGAAAACCCCATTACAACCCAAATTAAAGACCTTTTGATCTTTTAAAAACGTATGCATTTAAATTGTGGAGAAATGCATTTAAAAGTTGTGGCAGAAAGGATACTAATTTTGCATATGGGAATTTGCCAAATTTGTACTATGCAATTTAATCTTATTTTGAAAAGGTTGAAAATTCTTTGGATGATTATATGATTCATATCCTATTTATCGTAAATTGAATAATTATTAGTGTTGACAATCTCTTTAAACTTATATTTAATTCAATGAATGTGCTTTATTTAAAAAAAAATTGAAATCAAGCTTAAATATGAGTAGCATGGAGAACAATTGATTTATTCACTTATTTGCTAATCATGATATCTTATAGGTTTACGATTAATCGCCTCCAACCATGGTAAGCCATTTTTGTCAAATTATTTTTCTTAAAATTTAGTTTTGTTGCTTGAGGACAAGCAATGGTTTAAGTTTGGGGATTTTGATAGGTGTTAGTTTTATAGTATTTTTAGTATAGTTTTTATTAGAAAATTTAGTAAATTTTATCACTTAGATTTGTTTTTAAATTCATTTTTAGTATAACTTTGTTCAAAGCTTCCTTGAATCATAACCCACTTGATCTGAGAGAAATTTACAGGGTTTTGGCACAGAAAAGGGCATTACAAGGCAAAATACTCAGCGCAAAATACTCAGCCTCAAGCACGCCTAGCCCGTGCTAAAAAGCACCCTCGTGCTAAAAACTAAGGACAATCAAGGGAGAGTCAGGAATGGCACGCCCGTGCCACAAAGATTCATCTGGGTGTGCCTACCTAACATGCCCCGTGCTCAACCATCGAAAGTTCCAGACTTGAGCACGCCCAAGCCGAGCATCTTAGCACGCCCGTGCTTCGAAGGCAGAACTGGCGTGAACTAAAAATGCAAATCAATCCTTTTCTCACATAAGCCCGCCTCGGATAGTTTCCTAAACGCCTAAACGTACTAAACAAGATCTAGACCTATTTTGGAAGAGAAAGGAGCCCTAACTAAGAAGAAATCCAAGGCCTAAACAGTCATGATCTCCTAATAGAAGATATTTGTATTTAATAAGATTCTATTTCCAAACGGAGTTCAGGGATTTGCCCTTCAGGGGCTCCTATATTAAAGAAAGGGAGCTTTTTTCATTGATTAAATCATCTCATTTTTTAGGCTGTTTTCTGCATAATTCTCTCTCTCTCAAAAGGTTTCCAAGCAATCCAAGAATTTGTGCCAAGATTTCAAGGAAAGCCATCCACATAGCTGTGAATTAGGTTTTATCTCTTAAACTCTTAATCCTTGTTTTTCTTTTCAATGTTAATCAGCTGATTATTGAAGATTGATTCAAGTATTACTGAGTTTTATTTAATTTACATATGTCAAGCTGAAACTCTTATACTAGGGATTGGATTGTAACTTATTCGATCCAATTTATAATACTTAGATTTGTTTTTCATTGTTTCTTGTTATAATTTATTATTGAGCCCTTAAAGCTCCAGCAGGAATTTTTCCCTTCAATAATCCACTATCGGGGAGAAGGGTTTTTTGATATGAAAAAGATAATAAATTACTTGAGAATAATAACTTGATTGCGGCAAGCTATAGGTTTGACTGAAGGGCGGTTTTCATAAGTAATGATCTTAGGGTTGTAGAATTCACAAAAACAATCACAAACTCA